ATAAAGTCTTCTATAAACTGTATTTCACTGCCTAGTTTTAATATACTAGCCCGTATAACAACATAGCAAAAAACAGGAAATAGCTCATCCATTGTCCACAGATATGTGGAACCCAATTCTCTTTGTGCTATCTAAGGGAAACTGGGTATAGTACTTTCCTAAATAATATAATGCATAATTACAAATTGACTTACTTGTGTCATTTGTTCGAATGTATTTTTAACAACTAACAACTTTTCTATTGGAGAAAATGTAGTTTTCAATTGTTGCAAAGTCTCTACTGCTTCATTGAAATATGATTTTATTTGAAATTGTAACCTGTTTTCAGTCAGATCTATTAAATGTTTATCCTTCCAAAATTTTCTATAATTTTATTAATTAATTTAAATACAAAGATAATAGAATCTATTTTTCAATATGAGCACTACAAAGTACTTACTGATCAATATCCAGAAAAGTCATTAATGTCATATCTGGTTGTCTATTCCATTTTGTTAGTCTCTTTTTATAGGCTTTATCCTCTTCCGCGTTATGTAGATCGTATAATATAAATAGTACTGACTGCACGCGGGGTAATATTATTGGATGTATTATAGAAATCATATCTATAGTCTGTCTAATAAAGTAATGTAAAAAAATAATATTTTTATATGAATATTTCTAATATACAGACTTTATAAATAAATAATTACCAAACAGTAGGTATTTAATTACACTATTATACTTAACTAATTATATTTATAATTTAATTATTCCGAAAAAATATAAATTGAATTTCATTTTTTATACTAAATTATTAAAGCTTTGCTAGTAATTATGAAACCAGCATACCCTTCTCCGTTTTCTGCTTCCAATAAAAGTTCTGTCCCTTCAGGTGGTAATGTTGGAAATAGTAAAGTAACTATTTCATATATTCTTGACGTAATGCTATGAAGTTCAGATATAGCATGCTCGAGCAAAAGAGGATGAACTCTAACACCACCATATGTAGTTGTATATACAGTAGAAATGTCTGTTAAAAGAATACCTAATGGATGATGTTGACATTCAAAAGCTTTTATTAGGTATGTATGAATATTTTTATAATTTTCGTGAGTTAACTTTTTTTCTCGAAAACTAGGAATTTTATTTAATTCATCAGTACTTTTGTCATTCATATCGTTAGTAATTGGTGCATGTAACGAGACATTTTTTTTACGTAATATCTTTTGGCGAGATTTAGTCATTATGCTGGCAACATTTTGCCATGCATGCTGCGCCTTTATATTTTTGTCTGCATTTGTAGTTTCAGAATCTGCTTCAGCTATACCAAGTTGTTGATAACATTGTTTAAATATGGCTTTCCATTTTTGATCTGGAGGTACACATAATTTCCCAAATGAGCTATAACATAATGATAAAAATTATTTCTTATAGATCGAAATACATAATGTCCTATAAATCACGTACATTGGTTTTGAATTAGTTTGTACACGTTCTTCATTTTCTGATAAATGTAATGTTGCAATAACTTTTATACCCTCATTCCATACTCCATTTATATGACCTTCCAATCGCTCACCATTTCGGAAGGTCAATGTTCCTTTTCCACAAAATACACCAGCTGATTTAAATTCACCTTCATAATGTGTACCATCTTCAAATATCATGACTCCATGACCCTACAATTAAGTAGTATATTTGTTTTAATGTTTTTAGAAATGTGTATTCTTATCTATTCGAAAAATGTTAAATTCTTTAAAATTCTACCGTTAAAACATCCTGCGTAAAAACTCCTTCATAATAAATACCATCCAAAGTTACAATTGCGCCACTACCATGTTTCATATCGTTACTCCAAGATCCCAAATATTTTTCACCTATAATAACATCATGCTATTTAATGAATCAGTAATTAATAAAATGTTTATACACACACACGTTTATTGTAACCTAATTATGGATTCTATGTTCAATACATAATTATAAGAGAAATATATGAAATAAAATTAAGGAAAATTTCTGTGACTTTTCATTGGCATTATTCTTTTATGTTTCATTTTAATAATTAATTAAGTGTAGTATAATTTACTGATGACAAGTATTATGTAATTTACTGTTTTTTTAACAACTGTATTTTTTCTTGTATTGACATATATGTATAAGCACATTTTAATTTATTTAGAATAAAGTTATATCATTTTGGCAGCTACATTACACGAAACATTGTTTCTTAATCATAATTAAGCTGACAGATAAACATTTTCATTATCTTTTTAATAAATAGTATAAACATAGTGCATACTAAAATATAAAAACACAAATTATATTTGTACTTATATTATTTATATTTGTATTAATATAACCATCTGTTCATAATTATATAAGAATTGGTTTTAAAATTTAATGTGTGTTAC